GATGGGTTTAAACTAAGTTGACTCGTGAGAGATTTAATCAAGTTATGATTTTTCTCTTAATATAAGTAGACACAATAAAAAAAAGTAATTAGGATTAATTCAATTCTCAAGAAAATTAAGGAATTTTTTGTCAATAACAAGTCACAAGATGAATAAAAGTCGTAGTTTTGTATTTGGTTTAATCCCCTAAATCGATGATGACGAGCTTAGATAAAGAAATTAAATCCATTCAACTTTGTAAAATAAAATTAGTAACCTAACATACAACGGTGAATTGAAGTATCTACATCCATTAAAATTGGAGCCTCATATCTCATACTCAGACCAAGTGATGAATTACTATACCTATGGTTCACTAATCATAAGAGAAAAAATTACATCTAAATGATGTATTTAAAATGTTTGAAATATATAGAAACATTAGCATTGATTATATATGAGAAATACCACAACTCAATTTTTTTTATTTATTTTTTAGCTCATCACAACATAATATGCCTTAACAGTTTACCAAGCCTTTATTTTTCAGAAAACAATTTTCTTACCAATTGGTTGTGCTTTAATAGTTGTTTTTGGTCAATCACACACAAAGGAAGACAAGCTAAAATACTGCTCCATAATAGTAAAGCTCTATTATTTTGACGACATTTTATTTGACAAAAACTACTAGACGTTCTCACCTTTTGCACCTATCCACAATTCTTTTATTCCATGTTTAGCATGGCATTGCTCAAGTATTTCTATTACGTACTACTACTATATTTAGTGATTATTTATCTAAATTTGATATTTTAATTTAAGATTTATACGAATAATGTATGATAGATTTATGGTATACATAAAAAGACTTCGTAGCAATAAAATTTGAGTAAAATAAATTAAATAAAGAATGTAAAAATTAGCAAATGAAGAAAATTTTGAAACAAAATGAAGTACACATACATACTCCGTACAAATATAACACTATACATGCTAGTTGTGACTCGTGAGAGATTTGATCAAGTACTAAATTTGCTCATAATAACTAAAAATAATCAATAAAAATAAATTACTCCGTATTGAACAGAAAAAATGGAGGTGCTCATATACTATCCAGCTTCAGAAAAAAAAGGGGGGGAGGGGGTAAATCGCTCATATACTAAACTCTTGATATCTTATATATTAATGAAAGATAATATTTTCTTTTTTTGGGGGTGCAAGCCCCAACAAGAAGAAATAAAAACCTAAGACAAGAAGACAAGAACACCTTTTTTTTTTTTAACAATAACTGATTTATTCGATTAAATGGTTCCCTTAGTTTGATTTATTAGAACCCTTTACACTCTTTAATTGGAGGACCACTCTATTCACGTTTACTTGGAGTGATGAAATGGTTCCTTAATTTGATTGAATGGTGGATTCCTACCCTTGGTAACTTTAAATTTGTAAATAGTAGTAAATGTGAATCTTAGGGTTTCATATGTATCCTAAGATATCCTAAGATAAGATATCTATATGGTACCCTACATTACTCAAGTGGTACCCTAATTTATTCCAATGGTACCTTACATGGTTTCAGTGATCGAAGGCTTGTGAGTAGTACCCTTCATATTAGAACCCTTTACCATCTATAATTGGAGGACCATGCTCTTCACATTTACATGGAGTGTGTTGATTACGTGGTTCCTTACTTTCTACAAAAAAGTCCCCTCGCTAAAATGAAATTGGTAAATAAGGTAAATAGTGAAAGTGTTTACATACATATGTAATGTCAAAAGATGGCCCTTTACATAATTTATTATTCGACTGATAGATATAGTTTGATTTATTAGAACCCTTTACACTTTTTAATTGGAGGACCACTCTATTCATGTTTACTTTGAGTGATGAAATGTTTCCTTAATTTGAATAAATGGTGGTTTCCTCCCTTTTCTAGCTTTAAATTTGTAAATAGTTGTAAATGTGAATCTTAGGGTTTCATATGTATCCTATGATAAGATATACATGGTACAGATGGTACCCTACATTATTTAAGTGGTACCCTACGTAGTTCCAGTTGTACCCTACATGGTTCCAATGGTCCAAGCCTTGTGAGTGGTACCATTCATGCTATTAGTTGTGCCATTTGCGTTAACAAGGGTACCCTTCACTGCTATTGTGTAACTATATCTATCAGTCTTTTTATTGGCACCTTTATACTTTTTAATGGTACCATAAACTACTTAGTGGTATCCTTGAATTTAAAAGTGGTTTATTAGAACCCTTTACACTCAATAATTAGAGGACCATGCTCTTCATATTTACATGGAGTGTGTTGATTACATGGTTCCTTACTTTTGATTAAATAGTCCCCTCGCTCCTTAAATGAAATTGGTTTATAAGGTAACTAATGAAAATAGGTACATACATGTTTAATGTCAAATAGATGGCCGTTACATAATTTATTATTCGATTAAATGGTTCCTTTAGTTTGATTTATTAGAACCCTTTACACTCTCTAATTGGAGGACCACTCTATTCACGTTTACTTGGAGTGTTAAAATAGTTTCTTAATTGGATTAAATGGTGGTTTCCTTCCTTTGCTAGCTTTAAATTTGTAAATAGTTGTAACTGTGAATCTTAGGGTTTCATATGTATCCTAAGATAAGATATACATGGTACTGATGGTACCCTACATTATTCTAGTGGTACCCTACTTAGTTCCAGTGTTACCCTACATGGTTCCAATGGTTTAAGGCTTGTTAGTGGTACCATTCATGATATTAGCTGTGCCCTTTGCGTTATCAAGGGTACCCTTCACTACTTTAGTGTAACTATATCTATCAGTCTTTCTAGTGGCACCTTTATACTTTTTAATGGTACCATATAACTACTTAGTGGTACCCTTGAATTTAAAAGTGGTTTATTAGAACCCTTTACACTCTCTAATTGGAGGACCACGCTCTTCACATTTACATGGAGTGTGTTGATTACATGGTTCCTTACTTTTGATTAAATAGTCCCCTCGCTCCTAAAATGAAATTTGTTAATAAGGTAACTAGTGAAAATTGGTACATACATATTTAATGTCAAATAGATGGATGTTACATAATTTATTATTTGATTAAATGGTTCCCTTAGTTTGATTTATTAGAAACCCTTTACACTCTCTAATTAGAGGACCACTCTATTCATGTTTATTAGGAGTACTGAAATGGTTCCTTAATTTGATTAAATGGTGGTTTCCTTCCTTTACTAACTTTAAAGTTGTAAATAGTTGTAAATAGTTGTAAATTTGAATCTTAGGGTTTCATATTATCCTAAGATAAGATATACATTGTACTGATGGTACCCTATATTATTCTAGTGGTACCCTACTTATTTCAAGTGGTACCCTACGTGGTTCCAATGGTCTAACCTTATCAGTAGTACCATTCATATTATTAGCCGTGCCCTTTAACTAACCAATGTTACACTTCACTACTTAAGTGTAAATATATCGACCAGTCGTTTTAGTGGTACCCTAGTTGTAACCTTTTACTTGTTAGTTGTAACTTTGAATTTTAATTGCGTTAGTCCCCTTTATGTTCTTAGTGGTGGTACCCTTTAATTTTTCTTGTTAGTGGTAACCTTGAATTTTAATTTTGAAATATGTTAACCAATTGTTTCATTTATTTTGTTAGTAACCTTTATGTTCTTAGTGGTGGTCCCTTTAATTTTAAAGTGGTTCCCCTAAATTGATTTATGGGAACTTGGTTAGTGACACTCTTTAATTGGAGGATTGATTAAATGGTTCCCTTTGCTAAAATTAAATTGTTAATTGTAAATGTTAACACTTGTAATGTTAATAGACGGGGCTTACCCTCACATATGTAATGTCAAAAGATTGCCCTTACAATTTGGGCTTACAAAAAATGGGCTCTTTTTCTAATAATTTGTATGACAGAAAATGGGGTTGTTAGGAATTTGGCCTTACAAAACATGGCCACGTAAAATTAGTCACCTAAGCATATTATTCTATCTCTGTGATGCATGAGAGGGTGGAGTCACCGGCGGCCGAGGTCGAGGTTATATAGGAACGTAGCCACCTTGTCTGGATGATGTGGCTGATAACGGAGATATAGGGCTCTACTATCCATAAGGTCCTGAAGGTACTGAGCCAGGGGAAATTGAGGATACGGAACATAGTATCCCTAACTAGGAGAGATTTGGGATCCTTGAAAGTTTTGACCACCACCACCAACAGCCGTAAAGTACCCTATAGAGCCGTCCCCGTCCCGCAATTAAATGCCACCAACACATTGAGGACTGAAAGGAACCATCTTATTCATCATCTGCATATATGTACCTGCATGTGTAACAACATATATTATAACCGAAACAAGAACATCTTTTAAGTACTTGATGGCCTAAAACAAAATTTCTAGAATAGAGTTTAAAAGGAACATGGCAGCAACTTAAAAGATATCACTGAGGGCCTTTGGAGTTTGGACATATATCTTCACATATACACATATATCTGCACATATACAGCCTACCAAAATACCAACATAGACACACCAATATGATGTAAGTATAATATAACAATTAAGGCTTCTCAAATTTAGAATATGCCTCATTAGTAATAAGGATTGAAGAATTGAAGGAATATTTACCCCATTTGAGGAAGGTTCAGTTTGTTTGGGCTTCTGAAAAAGTCATGTTCTTGTGTTGTGTGTTCTTGTGTTGTGTATTCTTGCCTTGTGTGTTCTCGTTGTCATTGCCTTATTTGGTTTCTCGAGACATGACTTGTACCTCGAATCAATGGTGCGATGAGCTGGCCTCTTTGGTAAGGGTGGGCCTTTCACATGAACATCTTGTTCTTCAACAACTACCATATTGTCATCATTGCCATCACCATGACCCTCACAGCTACCCTGTCTTTGAGTCGATGGGGTTGAGTCCTTTTCTTTCTCCAAACAAACTGATGATGGTGTTCCTACACCTTGACCACTCTTTTTCACAAGCATTGCTAACTTCTCCTCCACTTACAATTCAACTAACTACAGTGCTTGCATCACTACTACAGTAGTTTGAATGGAACCCGAAGCATTCGAACACAACGTACCAAACCTGACCATCATTTTGTCATACCTACAAACTTCCTCGGCTTTACTTGGGTCATGATAGCACACTTTCACCCTTGTGTGTTTCCGTATCACATGTTTCCTCCACATCCTAAGAATATAATAGTATGGTATCTCATAGTAATTATTAATCTGATAAACCCTAATGATGTGACGACAAATAATCCCATGAAACTCAAAGTGACGACAGTCACAAGTTACGTGCTTGGTTGAACTGTCAAATGAAAGCTTGTACTCTCTCTTTCTCTTGGACGAATTTTCTTTACGCGATCCTTTAGGCTTATACCATACTCTATCCTCCACAACGAACTCAGTTATTATGTCAGAAACCCGATTCCGATGGATCTCACTTACATAAATTACACGATTGCACTCTCGTTGCACCTCCTTAAATTTTGCATCCGTATAAATCTTCTGAAATACCAACTCAGCCGGGAAATCAGTGTAAGCTGCCTCACATACCTATCATTACTGTCATCTGCCCTTTTCTCACTTGTGCACCTAACTTCCAAGGCATCACAATACCTCTCCACAAACTAATGCAACAAAGTATGCATGCTCAAATACCCATCAAAAAACCTGTGAATACTCTCAACCCGTTGAGTTGTTTTCATACCGGCCCAAAATAAATGTTTCACAAAAGCAGGCACCCACATATTGCATTCTTCATAGAACCCTAAACAAATTTGAATAAAGAGCCACTGAATAGGGTTTACAGTTCACAAAGCTTATGAAATTTTCACAACGCTTAATTTTCACAGAGCTTATGCATCAAAAGTTACATGATCCAGAAAGAGTTCAAAAAAAACCCCAAAAAAAAGAAGATTATATCATGATTCCTAGATTCTGAAGAGTCATAGAGAATAACAATATCCACACAGCATCAAAGTCACAGACTAAGTTCAGATAGCACTGACTAGGATTTACCCTTGTTTACAGTCCTTATGAAATTTTCATAGAGCTTATAACATTTTCACAGAGCTTATGCACCAACATTTTCACTGATCTAGATTTGCCAACACATTCACAACAACAACATAACATTATAACAGCAACATAACAATATCCACCAGCATAACATTATAACAGCAACACAGAACAACTGTGATTCTATTTTTATAATGAGTAAAGAAGATACCTTGAAGCCATTCATCATCTTCTAGTTCATGCTTCTTTATTGCCTCAAGCCCATTAGCCTCAAACTCTTCACAAGCAAGACTGTCATCAATTGCACTCTCAAGATCAGTTTCAATTTTAGTGTAATTTTTAAGCTTCCCAAACTTCTTGGCAAATTTTTGGGTAATGTGCCAAATACACATCGATGAACGGTTCCTTGCGTAGTCACTTTCAATGCTTTCCTCATCGCCGGATCTTGATCCATTAGGATCCCAATAGGCTGTTTTTCACCCATACACCTCAACCAATTGGAGAAGACCCATTCAAATGTTTCCGCGGTCTCTCGAGAAACTAGTGCACATCCGAAGTAGACGATTTAACCGTGATGGTTAACCCCCGCAAAATTACAAAATGGGAGCTTATACTCATTTGTCAAGTAAGTTGAATAAAAACATACAACATCCCCAAACTCCTCGTACGCAACCCAGCTCCTAGCATCGACCCACAATACATCTTGGAGACTACCCAAATCATCCACTCGATGGGTATGGAAAAAAGTGGGTTATCATCCACCATCCTTTTGAAGTAAGCAAACATTCCCTTTGCATCACCTTCCTCAAATATGATTTTACCTTGCTTTGCAACCTCATCATGCAAATCCTTTTGAGTAAATTGCATCTCCTCTCGGCCATTCCTTTGACGGGCCATACAATTGAATATCTTTGCAACTAGAACACCCGCCATGCGGTCATTGAATACTTGTTTAAGAATGTGCGGGTTGTCCGTCAAGAACTTCTTCCTAAACTTAGTGGTGTTCTTGGACTTCCCTGGTGTTGGTGAATGACCTTTATGTTCTAGAATGGCTTTATCAGCTACCCAATCACCACCTTCATTCAACTTTACATATAATTTCACCAGGCATTGCACTTTTTTGCTCTTTCGTTTAAGACAAACTTCGTCATATATTTGTGAATCCGAAACAAATGTGGGGGCATCAGTTTTCTTGCCCCTCCTACTAGGCATACCGTAACATTCACATGTCCATGTCACACTCCGCTTGTCCTTAGCATTAGAACCTTTCCCTATTGTTGCTCCACTTGGACGGACTACACCAAAACCTTGTTGTTTTCCATAGTCCCTAAAATATGAGTCTATTTTTTTCCAACTATCAAAGATCATTCCTGGTTCAGGTGGAGGAAGGGAAACCTCTACATTTGCAAACTCTTCGATTTCGAAGCTTATAGCCACACGACTCTTTCCTTTGGTTGGAGTCTTGTATGACTCTTCACCAACAGTCACCTTTCCAACATTATTCAAAGCATATCAAAATTCAAACAAACAATAACTAATCTCAGGGCACATTTGATATCATATTCTCATTATTTACAAAAAACAACAACAACAAAAACAACAACACCAATAACAACAACATCAACTGAGCCACTGAATCTAAACTAAACAATAAACCAAAACAAGCACCATATGATCTCATATTCTCATTATTTCAAATAAAACACATTTAAACTAAACAAGCACAATTCATCAATTTAATCAATTTAATATGAAATGTTATTATTTTGAGATTAATTAATCAAAACCCTAATTAAAACAAACAACGATTTCGACTGAATTCAAAAGGTTAGTTGTGACATTACCTCCTTCAACAAAGCTTGAAGAGCTAACGAACATCCGCCTTCGTCATCTTCTACTTCTTCAATGGCGGTAGCGTATAATGGGTCTTCAATGGCGCTTTCGTGCACTGTTTTTTCAATGGCGATAACGTTCAATGGATCTTCTATGGCGGCTGTGTCACCATCCAACACAACCCCGATAGCACGATCGCCACCCGAAACCGTCTGTAAAGAGTGAGTCCTCCATCACCAACATCTTCCTCGCCATTTCTGCCTCGAGGTTTTCACCCTCACCAGATGATTTTTACATGAAAATGGCGAGGGTGAGGTTGAAGAGAAACAGGAGTAAAATGTTAAAGGAGTAAAAAGTGAAAGGAGTAAAAAGTAAAAGAGATCAAAAGTACAAAGGGCAAAGTTGTCTTGTACACTTGTATTATACGCTTGTGCAATATCTTGTATTTCCCTTTTTATTTGATAAAGTGGTTTAGTAATACCTGACTTGTGGGACCCAACCGTTTCATTTTACACCCAGTTATGTTCGTTATGTATGGCTATATGCATACCGAAACTTCATTACTACTTCCTCGACTTTTATTACAATTTTACCATGAGATAAACAACACTCGTTTATCACGGTTATTAACTTGGATTTTCTCTTAAAGAAGAGAAGAAAATAGAATAGGAAAAATACACTTTAATAATCCCAATTATGGACGATTTACCTACAATAATCCCAACTATCGATTATTCTACAATAATCCTAACTATTAGGTCAGTTTTCTTCCAGCAGTCCCAAACCAGTCAACAACCTATTATTGTAGGTTGTTTGACACGTGTCAGCGTGTGAGTGGTTAAAAAAATATAAAACAAAAAAAAAATTCTGACAGCCACCATTCCAGCCCTAACTACCACCTCCACCTCCTACCACAACCTATAAACACCACCTTCTCCAGCCACCAAAACCGAAAATGTCTCCCACGACCAGCCGCACCCCTGAAACTGGCCAAAACACCTAACCCTTTCTCGTGAAACCACTAGCAGCTAAAATCCCACCAAAATAACCGACAAAAATGCTTGAGAAAGTCCCCTAAATTCGTCTGAAATAGAATCCTTTTCTTGGAAACCGTCATCAACCCTTTGCCGAACCTACTAGCTGGAGAAGGTGGTGTTTTAGGGTTTAAGGCAAGAGTTGGAGTTGGCCTTTGGGGCTGGAGAAGGTGGCTATTGAGGTTGGTTTTGGAGGCGGAGGATAGCACGGTGGTTTTAGAAGCGGTGGATTTGGTTGCGATTGGTGAGTGGGTTTCTGCGGCTGTAGTTGAGAAAAGCTGGCGACGAACTAGCAGCGAGCAAGCTGTGAGGAGGGGTCGTGGTTGTGTAGGCGTCGCTGGCCGTACGGTTTGATCAGAGTAATTGGCGTCGCTGGCTGTGCGGGAGGAGCAATTGGGGTTGGGGTGGATCGTGGCTAGTGCTCTTGAGGATTTTGAAGGCCTACAAACTATTTTCCTATGGTCTGCAGGTTCACCGGCCATTTTCTGGTCGTCTGAAGGTTGGCCGGGCATATTCCTAATTGGCTAAGGGTTGGTGGCAGTTTCCGGTGGGCTAGGGGTGGCTGTTGGGTTCGTATTATCAAGCAACCCACTAAAATAAGGGCACCATTCTATGATCAAAGGATACACTAAATCAAGCAAAACACCGTAATTGGAGCAAGTATGGAAAATGAGATCAGAATATCAATCATGAAAATACTTGCCAAGAATACACCTCCTGAACCGGGTAATAGAATAAAATCAAGAGGATCTCCTACGTTTGAATATATTTGATATCTTTGTAACCCTAGTCGATCCTTGGTATAAAAAGTATAGCTAGACAATATAATACTCATGTACACACACTCATACATCAATATGAAATTGATTATTCTACCTATTCTCTCGGAACAGTGTCGTTACTGAACAAGGACGCTTATCCTTTCTCAGTATTGTATCTCTAAAATTATTCTCTTTTAATATAATAGTTTACTTAATGCTTTATTATCGTTCTTGGTTATCGTATTTTGATATTTGTGGCTTGATTATTATTACCCCCAAATCCCTAAGCTAATTCCTAAATGACATTACTAAGATTTGCCTAAATAATTTGGCACCCATCGTGGGGCTGATAATCAATTAACCTGCCAAACCCATAAAAACCAAGACAATCACCATGAATTGACAACCAGTACCCTTCACCATAGTCGAAATCATTGAAGGAATGAACGCATTCCGTCAAACCCTAGACTAGCAAAAAAGCCATGTCGAAACAATGTTAGCCCAAAAAGTCCAAATTGAAGCCAAGCTTACCAACCTAACCAGAAAAATGAAGCCCTACGTAGCCAAATAGAGTTAGTTGCATCAAAAACACCCGAAAGAGCACTGAAAGCATAGCCATGCAGCTTGATATGTCTTGAACTTTTCGTACCCCTAATAATGGGGAAAAAGGTTCTAACAATAGGAAAGACACCCTGGATTTAGATTTCGTTGATGCAGGAACCTTCAAGAAAATTATGCAGGAAGGAACTGAGGAGGGAAAGATAGAGAAGGTAGTCAATCAGGAGTACCTCAAGGCGTTTGAAGCCAAGATTGCAAAGATCCCTGGAGTGCCAAAGCCCATGGAGGAAGAGGTAGTAGACAACTACATAGAGTCACCCTTCTCAGAAGAGATCGCCAAGGTTGGAGTGCTAAAGAGGTTCAACACACCGAATATGGCCATGTATGATGGAACAACAGACCTAGATGAGCACATGTCCCTCTACCAACAAAAGATGATGAACAGCTCAATCCCCAAAGACATTAGATATGCTATCATGTGCAAAGGCTTTGGAGCCTGTAGGGAATAATTTCAAGTCTTCAAATCCCACTAGCTTGAACCCCACTGTGATCATACACTAAAGTACGGTGGCGTCCAAAAGGGAAGAAGATAGAGCAAAAGAGTCGCCAACAAGTTTTTTAGGAACTTGTAAACCGTTCACGAGGTGAAGGTTACACCCCTTAACGATCCAAGAGATCGTCAACTCCATAAGGTCTAGAACCAAATAAGGGTTCGGGATGAAGGTACAAATCCAACCTAAAAGAGATTGAACCTGCCCTAATAATAGGCCTCTACTTTCTTCTGATCGTATTCATGTGCGCTTCCTGATTAACATGCAATCAATAGGTTTAACCCTAAACCTGTTTATCTATGTTGGTTGAATATAATGCACAAATAAATCTATTATTGGAGATCACTTGGAATTATAATCAAATTAACCCTAACAAGATTATTAATTATCTTATTAAGCGTGATTACAAGTACCAAAATTCCCTTTAAACATGCAATAAAGGTGTGATCAAGCAATATATAATATCAAGCAACATAATAAATAATCAATATCATGAATAATAGTTATAATAATCATAATATCATCATAAATCATAACAATTATAATCATAATCATATTCATGTTAATATTAAAGCATAATAGCAAGATCCTAGGCATGATACTAACAAGATTAATAACAAATCCTAGCATGTTACTAAGCAATAAAAATCAAATCTTTAACCCTAACATGATACTAATAATCATAAATATTAGGAAGAACATAGGAAGCATCTTAACAATCATATTAAATATTAATATTACCCTAGACATGATATTAGGAAGATCAAAACGCCCTAACATAACATTAGGAATCATAATAACAACCTAAACATGATTTCTACATAATAAAATCAGTAAAAACCATTAAAGTAATTACTTTGATGCCTCGTACCTCTTCCTAATAACAAAATACACACGTTAGTAACTTCAAGGAAAATAATAAACAAAACAATTAAATTAAATAATGGAAAGAGAGATTTGGGACCAAACCCTCAGAAATTAAAACCTTTCACGTCTAGGGCGAAGGCAACTTCGAATGCGAAATTTTGTATGTAAAAAGCAAAGTAAGAATTTAGAGAGAATTAAGAGAGATGAGAGAATTAGAAAACTGATTGTCGGTGAATAATCGTGAGAATTGGTGAATTAATGAATCTTGATGAATGAAAATGGAGTTTTTAATACGATATTTATAGAGAAAATCAGCCAAAAAGATAAATTAAACAAAACAGAGTCTGACACACAGAAAACAAAGCAGGCGCCAACCTTGGCTAACTGCGCCAGGCACCAACACTAACGCCAGGCGCCAATGGCTAGCGCCAGGCGCCAGGCCTGGCTCCTGGCGCCAAGGCCTGGGGACAGACGCCAAGCTTAAATTTAACGCGTTTTCGAAAATCAGATAAGTTTACCGTACTGGAGGATAAAATCATATAATTTCCTCGAAAATAATATTTGATTTTGATTAAAACTCTGAAAAGTCAAAAGGCAATTTATCAATGCTAATTGAATTAGGAATGACAAGAACCTTCTAGAAGATTCTAGAAGACCAAAACCATTCCTAATTACATTAATAATGATAAATCATATTAGGCCTTCCCCTAGATCATTGGGCCGTATTTAAATCTCAAACCAGGCCTAGTTTAGTAAATTGGCCATAACTTCCTCAATATTCATCGGAAATGGGCTTATAATATATCGTTGGAAAGGTCTTTGCAAGCCCCATCCAACTACAATACTATTGGACCCATATCATGGACCAACCAAACTGGATTGGTTGTTTTCTTAAAAATAAGTTTTCAAAAACGGAGAGAAGAGAAAAGAAAATAAAACTTTCCACAACACTAGACTTTCCACACTTTCGCTTCATTCGATTAACGCGAAAGGTACTCATCACTAGGTTTGGTTTTGGGGAGACACAAATGGGTGTCTACAGAAGCCCCCACTTTGACTGAGTTTGGAGAAACGCGAGTTTCGAAAACAAAAGTCAAAGTATCGATAGGGACGGAGAATGAATCAGAACGTTCTGCGATCCTAAATCATTCTTGCAACGATGATACCTGCAAACTAACGTTATTTAAACAGATAAAAGAGTTAAGAAACGCGTATCTTGCACCGTCGAGCACTCGTCTCTTAAAGTAACCGATTAGCTGTTGTATCCTTGTTTTGATGACCTCCTGCAAGCTAGAGAATGCCATCCCACTTGAAAACTTCTACGCATGTAACTGCTTCCAATTTGGAAGATTGCTTCGCCTGAAACGATCCTCCTCCGCAATGATAATATTCTGCGTCCAAGGGAATACTATCGAAGATTGCTTCTCTTGAAACAATCCTCATCCGCATTGATAATATTCCACATCCAAGGGAATACTATCGAAGATTATTTCTCTTGAAATAATCCTCATCCGCATTATGACCATCTTCCATGCCTGAGGGAATATGATCGAAGACAACTTCGCCCGAAATCACCTCCAGTTGTTTGTGACAACTCTCCGCAAGCTAGGGAATGTTGTCGAAGATATCTTCTCTTGAAGTCATCCTCATTTGATGCGATAATTTTCAAAAGAAAATTACCGAAGATCCACGCCTGTCGATCTTTAAAAGTTCGCCTGAACTTTGCTCCCGCTATGCCTGCACGTCAGCGCTTCTATTTCTTTGAACCTATACGTCGGTGCCTTTTTGCTAATGAGCCAATGCTTAGGCGCTTTAAGCTAAGTGAGACGATCTCTTATCAGGTCGATCACTTTATGTAATCAAGCCGATTACTAAATCATGTCAAATTGCTTAGAGGGGCTAACTGGCGTACCGAGGAACCCAAAAATATGTTGCAGAAGGCTAGCACAACCTCATCAAGTGGCTGGGTGCTTTGGCGCCGCTAAAAAACCATCAGCGCCACCTTATTAGTATTAGCCCCAGGCGCTGATATTGGCGCCAGGCGCCAAGCCTAATTTGTGACGCCAATGCATAGATCTTGGCGCCAGCACGGGGACATCCTTAAATACCCCTTTCTCCTTCATTTTGCTGCTGCTCGTCGCGATTTTGCTCAAAAGAAAGTCCGAAAACTTCAATTGCTTGGCGCTTGCTCGTTTCTCAACAGAATTCGCTCAAATTTGTTGCAAATCAAAGCTCTTTTCATCTATTTTCCTGATCTATGTAAGTTTTCTTCAAACTCACATCATTTTTCATGAATTTTTGGCATGTTTATTCACGAATTTCATGAAAATTCGAAACTTATAATGCTCAATTTGCTTTGTTTATCGAGTTTTATGCCATAAAATTTCTTGATTATGTTTATATATTGCCTTGGGAGTAAATTGAGACTTGTTTGACTCAATTTGGTTAAGAAATGAGCAATTTTCCATTGTTGGACCTCTTAAGGTCGTGAAGAACAATGTGACTCGTTCTTGATTGATTGCTTGAAAAAATGTCGTTATGCTCAATTTGAATTTGTGCTCTGTTTTAGTACTACGTACTCTATTTTTGCGAACATAGTATCATGCGGCTAGGCAAACCTTAGATACAATAGAACCTTAATTCATGATAATTTTGCACAATGTAGCATGGCTAGACAGCGAGGCTCGGGTTCACGGTCCCGAAACACTAGACGGGAGCATGAGCCCGTAGAAGATGAAATCACGCCTTCCACTTCGCTTGGTCGACTTCTAGAGTTGGATGAGCGGATCCTATTCTTCGCCCCTGTCCAGCACATTTCAAAGAGGGTGAGACAGGGTATCGTGCCCGGGAGGACACGACATCACGGCTCTGGCTGTGATGGTTTGGGCGATTTGTACAGGATGTACATTGCTAGGGATCTTGAGACGAGACTCCTATAGGAGTCTTGCGGGCTAGCTACTCTGTTTGAGACCTCTGAGGCTATGGTAACCTCGAGCGGGGGTCATCACGTAGTGCGCGCTTTGGTGGAGTTCTTCTGGGACAATACTACCACCTTCCATTTCCCCTGGGGCGAGATGATGGTCACCCCTACGGACTTCAGTCTCATCACAGGACTGGAGTTCACCTCTGTGCCACTACCGTTTGACAGCGGAATCGACGTCTTTTCTTCGGAAGTCGAGGAGCTGTTGGGGCCGATAGCTATTCGGGCCGGAGCTGAGGTCGAGACGACTCAGTTTAGTGCTAGAGGAATTCGCCGCTTGACGCTTGCAGCGACTCTTGATGACGATGCGACCACCCGAGAGCAGCGGGTGCACATCTTTGTGCTGATGTTGTTGTCAGGGACATTCTCCCCTGACAAGGGTAGTAGGGCATTATGACTAGGCCAGCTTGGCCTATGCTGACTTTTTTCCTGCGCTGAGGGACTCGTGTCGACACAGGTCCTTTGGG